CTGGCTGTGCCGTAAGGTCAGGCTTGCAGCGTGATGTTGGAGAGGGGGTCTCCTGTCAGTGCAAGCTGAGTTCACAAGATTATTTTTGATGATCACATCACACAGGGGGCTCAAGTAGAGCCTTAAAGCTTCTCCAATTGGAGAACTTTACCTTCTGGTGCCTGCCTAGATGCCAATTCTGATTCAGTTGGCCTATTCTCAGATTGGGTCCTCTGGAGGGTAAAGATGAGGAAGATGCATCCAAATTCCTCCTCTTTCTCTCAGTTCCCAAATTCCCAGTCCCTGCTTAATAAACCAAAGTCACCCAGAGTCAGAGACAGCTTTTTAGGGACTCAGACTAATACTAAGCCTGACTCTCCTGGAAAGGGTAGGCTTGGGGTAAAAGTAATGCAGGTGTTATCCCACTGAAGGGCTTCCAGTGGGATAGCCCTCTGAAAAGTCCCTTTTGATTTTAGGGCCAATGAGTCAGACAGATAGCCTTCTATGTGTGCCTACTGCTGGCATCTGTGAAAGCCCACCGCATTGCCAGGGGCCCCATCAGTAGCCAACCCTGATGTGCTCTCTTATGACTCCCATCACAGGTCACATTCTGCTCCACTGAGCATTTAAGATATAATCCCTGTGGACAGACCTGACTGCCACAAAAGCAGGACCCTCCCATCCTCTGTCTATCCCTCAGATATAGGAGCCACACATGGATGTTGTCTTGGCTTTAGTCCAATTTCCTGTATCACCTGTGAACCCTGTCAACACACTTCCACTATGAACAGAGGCACAAATCTCCAGAGACTAGGGCAAGTTCCCCTAAAGAATGCCAAAGCTGGATTTTCCCTATCCCAGGGAATGTTCACATTCCTGTATCTGATGTCTGGTTAGACCAATCAAGCGTGGATTTTTCTAAAGACCTCACTGTGTAAAGTCTGTGATTTCAGCTCTGCTACCTGTTGGCTGAACTCATTGAATTTGTCTAAACCTCTGGGCTCTCTGGACTTTCAGACAGCCTCTCCAAATCCCCTGAATGTTCTTCCATGGCCCTCAAGTATGTTCTTTTGTAGGTTTACGGTCATTGCTGAAGCTGCTTCTATTTAGGAATGTCTTGGAATTCTTTTGGGAAATGTTTTCTAATACTCATCCAAGATCTTCACTTTCCTTCGTGTGTGGACTTGATTCTACCCTGCGAACAGCCTTTGGCACAGTTGGTCATGCCCTCCTTTTTGAAACATTCTCTTCTCTTGGCTCTAGGATGCTATACTCTCCCAGGTTTACTTCCTACCTGTGTGGTCACTCCTGTTCCCCATTCAGGCTTATCTCCCTCTACTCACTAAATACTGCAGACCCTCAAGTTTCTATTCTAGGTCTGTTTTTCCTTACACTCTTTATTCTCTCCCAGGGTGATTTCGTCAACAGGCCCCCATGCTTCAAATACCATCTGTGTACATATGACTCACACATTTTTGCCTCCAGCTCTGACCTTTAATTTAGAGCTCCAGATAGCATTTTTGACTACATACTTTTCTGGAGTATATCTCAAGCTCAAGTTGCCCCAGATATATTTCCCCCCTAAAGCTATTCTTTTTCCATTGTTTCTGGAACCCGTAAACATTACTGTCATCCACCCTATCATGCAAGCCAAAGATCTGTGGTCATTCTTGACAGTTCTTTCTCCTTTATTCCCCATATCCAAGCCATCAACAGATTTTATCTATAGCTATTTCAAGTAATTATCTCTTTAATCACATCTGTCTATCTTCACTGTCAGCACCTGAGTCTAAGCAACTATCATCTCCCATCTGAATGCCTGCAGTGATCTCAAAATTAATTTCACCAATCCACTTTGGTTCCACACTAAAGCTGGAATGATCTGTTGGAAATACAAATCTGACCATATCATTGCTCCTTGAATAACACTTAAATGGTGCCCTGTGTTCCTTAGGTTAAAGAACACAAGCCCTCATTGGGGCCATAATATCCTGTGTGGACTGATGCATGATGCCCTCTCCAGCTTCTTTCTCATCCTTCCCTCCTTGCTTTCTTGCCTTGGTTATACTACGTTTCTTTTTTTTTTTTTTTTTTTTTTTTTTTTAAAGCACAACAGGATACTTGCCCCATTGCACAGCTTTAGCCAAGGCTATTTCTCCTGCTGCTCCCATATGTTGCTTTCATGATCCCTTTGCCTGGTTACAGCCTTTCTTCCTTTGGAGCTCACCCCTGTTAGGGGTGAATTGCTCCAAGAAGCAATTCATTTTTTTAAATTATGCAAGTATCTATTTACAAGTGTCATGTGCTTCTCTGTTCAAACCTTAACAGGGTTCAAGTTTGCTGTTACTGATTCTGGATTTATTCATTGTATTCCTCTACCCCCAACCACGACTAATTGTAGACTCTTTGAGAGCAGGAACTGTACCTGTTTTGCTCACCAGTGTATCACCAAATGCCTGGCACATAGTGGGTATTTATGATCACTTACTGAAGGAATGAAGTATGAGTCTCATTAGACCAAGCTAATCACATTGTTCCTAGAGTAATAGGATCCTCTCTAGGGGCTCTTTGCCATTGCACTCCTAGTCTCTAGAACAGGACCTGGTAGCAGGCACACTGAGTAAAATTAGGCTGTGCCAATGAGTGAATGCCCCAGAGACAACCCTTCCTCCAAATCTAAATAAAAAGACTCCATCAATATTGAGGAAATTTGGATCTGAGATTCTCCCCTTCCTTTATGCTTGCTACATTGTGGATTAGCCACATCTCAGAAATCATGTCTCCAGCCTGGGAAATGGGGGCTGCATGGGAGCTACTCAGAACCAGCCCTGGTCCCCCCATCCCGGAATGTCAGACAAGCCCTGCTAAAGAGGTGGTGGACAACTCTTTCAGGAATTCTCTAGGCTGTAGATGAGCAGAGTCTACTCAGTCAGCCCTGGAATGTGATGAGTTGGTTTTGCCATTAGCTTGTGAAAGGAATGAATAAAATTCCTTATCCGTAAGTCCTTATAGGAACAGAATCTCTGACTCTACAGACAGCATAGTTTAGCACACAGCTCATGGCCACTCAGTGGCAAAATAACGAATGATTGAATGGATAAATAAAGCACACAACTGTGGTTCACTCACCCTCGTATTATGTTATAATTATCTGTTAAGCAGCAATGATGAGGAGGGAGGCCTGTGCTAGACACTGGTGTTAGAGAAATGAATAGGGTGACTTAGCATTCTCACTAGAGACTTGACCAAGCAAACCCAACATGTCTAAGTTACAACAGCTTAGGGAAAGTGCTCTGAGAGAGGAAACACTTAATGCTCTTAAGCAAAAAAAAAGGGGGTGCATCAATGTGCTGGAGGGCTTAAACATCAGTGCATTTGGGGAATCAGGACCATAGCTTTTGTGTAGTAGCATTCCTTCAACTCAAGACTCCGCTGAGTTCTATGAACACATGACTTAAAAAAGGAGAAAACTCAATTTGCTTCCATGAGAACAAATGTGTGTGGGCAGAGACGTCATCCCCTTAGCTAAACACTAAACAACCACAAACATTTAGGGAGCCCTATTACCAGTCAGAGTCTGTGCTAACATGGGAAAACTAAGATAAACGAGGCATAATCTTGCCCCTGAGGAGTTTGCAGACCACTGGAGGAGACAGATGTGAAAACAAATAACTAATAATATTGGTGCATTGTAGTAAGAGATATTGTGAGGCATGTGCAAAGTGTTATAAAGTGTTAATAGAATTTAGAGAAGAGGGAGGAACTCTCCCAGGGGCACAGACTCAGAGAAAGTGTATTGGCTGATGAAGAATGAGCTGATGTAGATGTGGAAGAAAAGAAGGAATGAGTTAGGAAAAGGGTGGTTTAGACTTTTAAGCTGCCTCATACTTAAAGGCTGGCACCAATGGGAATATAAACAGAAGCAGGAGGAAATCCACTTAGGGTGCTGGTAACCCCTGGACCACTCTCTAGAATGTCTGAAATAAGATGTTGCCTCTAATCCCTAGTACATAGCATGAAGATACTGGTTTTTGGCATTGTTTGCCTGCTTACTTTGCTATGGCATAAGCAGAATGGTTGTTTTGGGAGAAGGGATTGAGGAACTAGATGACTTGAGAGCTGGATTCAGGGGTTCTGACCATTGAGGTCTAAAATTGGAATCACAAAACCTGTGGAATTCTGGCCCTTACCTTTATCAGCCATGTGACTTTCAGCAACTTCGCTTGGTTTTCTCATCTATAAAATGGGAAAATCAATATCTCATCTATCTTTGGGAATGTTTGTGAGGACTGACCAGGCCAGATCCATGAAGTTACCCAGCACAGGGCTAAGGATATAGTGAGTGGCCAGTTACCTGCCTCCTCTACTGAGGATTATGTCAGCAAGTTAACACCTGGTAGAGTATGTTGCATTAGTATTAAATGCTAAAAATGGAATTCATCAGATTTAAGTGTTTTTTTGAATCCAAGGTGTATTCAAGTTCCCTTGAATATACAAACTTTTTACCCTACCGTTTGTTTCCTATAAAGAACAAAACAAAAACCACTTTTTATCTTTAAAAATCTAGTGATTTAAATTGTGTTGCCCCAACATAAAGCTATTATTTCCATCATTTACCTAAAAGAATAATATAGGGTTAGGTATAATTCCACAAGCCCAGGAAATGTTCCATGGTTTGATCTTACAAATAAAACAATATGAGAGAGAGAGAAAAATCTTAATTTGATTTGCCTTAAGGAAAAGGATGCTTCAACACAGGTACCCAGGTGAGAACCTTGGGCAACTCACTTAATTTCTCTGCATGTCAGTTTCTTCATCTCAGAAGAATGTAATGATCATCCCAACCTCACAAGGAATTGATCCTCAAAAGTTATTACATGGGACAATGTATGTGATGCCCTTAGCACAGTGCCTGGCACATAGTGAGCACTCAACTAAAGGAAACTGTTGTCATTATGATGATTGTCTAGTCACATATGTGGGTGCTTTCAACATTGCTGTCCTTCCCTTTCCCCTCCTAGGTGCCTCCACTCAGAATTCTAACACTGTGGAGCCAGAGAAGCAGGTGGACAACACCGTGAAGATGGCTGGCGTGATCGCTGGCCTCCTCATGTTCATCATCATTCTCCTAGGTGTGATGCTCACCATCAAAAGGAGGTGAGTCTACTGCTGCCCGGAAGACTCTGCTGACCTGCGGTGACCCCATCACTGCTGTGTGGCCAGGATTTTGCTCTGTTAATCATTGTCCAGCAGGGATCTTCTGATATAACCGTTGAGGTCCTGAAATATGTGGGCCAGCTGTGGTTCATTGTGTTGCTGTTTGAAGGGTGCATGCTGCCTGCTTGACAGGTGGTCCTGAGGTGGCCAGTTTCTTATGGGCCAGTGGCCCCTATGACTGGGCCACTGCGATGTGCCATGGGATTCCATGTATCACGAATTGAGTCTTATAGGAGTTAACTGCTGTGTTGCAATCAATCATGTCATCAGGATAGCTCGGGAGCCCCAGGAACATAGATGAGTCCAGAAACACAGTTGCAGGAAAGTAGTGTTTTACCATTCTCACCTCCATTTGCCCATGATTTCCACTGGTCAAATAATAGCATCCCAGGCCGCCCTCTCCATGAGAGATAAAGCCTACAATGGTATAAGAGTTCCCAATTACAAGTTCTATTATAGTACTATGCCCTGTCCCATGAAACCTTCCCAGCAGGGTTGCTGTTGCTTGTCACCTGTCAACAGCATGTCTCCCTGGACTCCTCTGGCCAGCTACCAGTTTGCTCATACTGTGTGTTTTCTCCAGTTGCATTTCTCATAAAAGCAAGCAAGCAGATTCCTCCCTTATTCCCAAGATTTACTACACCAGCATCTTCTGTTTAAGAGTCATTCACAAGGCTTGAGGATAACACAAGGAAATTGCAGAGAGGGAAGAAAATACAAAGGGTAAATATCAGCTATCCCTGTCCCCAGGGTGCACTGGTTATTCCTCTAAACAGGGAGTCTTACTCGCCCCTCTCCTTAGCCCCTGCCTGCCACCATGCTAACACATCTACTTCCCACCTCCATGTCTTCTCAGTTTCAATGCCAGGGCCCCAACCTTAGTCTCTACCTTCCCACTCCTCAGTCTGTCATAGCAAACAAAACATTTATCCACATTATAATATATGTGGTGTATTGTGCCCTGCTCCCAGGCAAAAGAGCCTTCTACGTTATTAACCAAACCAACACCTTAGCCTGAAACTCTGGGTTTGCTTATGTACAAAGTTCAGGGCAACCCCAAGAACAAGGGCTGGGAACTTGCTTCCATCTGTAGGATGAAAAATGCTCATCAAATGTGTTTCCCACCAAAACAAAGGGACAGAGTACCCCTAACAACTAATTCCAGCTTCTACCTTAGGAACCACATGAATATAAAATGCGGAATTTTTTTTTTAAAAAAAAGCAATATCCCCATTTCCAGCAATCAGTGATTTAGAAATACTAGGGTCCAGTCAACCCTCTCTTGACTATGCAAGCACCAGGATGTCCCTCTGATGATGATGATTCTGCTTTGGATCAGTTGTACCTGCCTCTGGCCAGGACATTATACTGTGAGGACATCTTTTCTTGACATTTATTGTCTAATAGGATCATGTCTTGCCTCAAACTCCCAGCAGAATGGCTTAAGAGCTAAGGTTCTCCTCCAGGCTGTGATGTTCTGGTTGGAGAAACTAGCGGTAACAGAAGGTACTATGTTAATATTGGGGGTGAAGAGCCCTCAAAGGGTTAAGGTCAACACTACATTGTCATATCACCATCATCACTGATAACACATGGCCACATTATATGTCCTGGTGACTAGTCTGTTGCTATTACATGGGGTAGTATATGACTTTTGATTTCCCTGGGGGAGTAAGCACGTTGTACGTGTAAGATCATTGAAATGTTTCTTAGAATTACAGATGTATTAGAGGCAGAGGTGAGTTTGGGATTGTCCACCCAAATTAATGGAACTGAATACCTCTTTGGTAGACCTGGAATTTTCTTATTCTTTGCCACTGATTTGTAAATCAGATACGCTCTTCCAATTTTGCTCTTTCTAAAGCCTGGCTTAACCCACGTCACCATCGTCTGTGAGATTGTGAAGAAATTTCACTTCCTTCTCACAGCTATTTCTGAAACGTGTGACTTTTTGGGAGGGAGGAAAAGGCTTTATGTTTCCAGGGTGGGAGCGACTATAAAATGAGTCCTTTGTGGTAGTTTTAACCTCTTCTGAGTATCTTTATCATCTCTCATGTCTATCAGAACTGTCCATCAGACCCTATCAACAGGCATCACATGATCACCATTTCTCCCCAGGAGGCAAAACCTGGGCATTGCATGTTGTGGGGTGCTACTCAGTGTTTACATATATGGCATCTTTTGAAGAAACTAAGACATTTTGTTGGCCTAGTTGATTGAAACAGTTTATAGATGGGAGGGGAGGGTAGAAGGAGAAGAGGAGAAAATGGGGAGGAAGAGAGAAATTGCACATAGGACTGCACTCTTTCCACTTACCTACAATGCCTTCCTGTGTCTAGAGATGCCCCAAAGGAAAGCAAAATTCTGTGCACCTCTTCTTTCCCAGATACCCCCAGCTGCATATATATATATATATATATATATATATATATATATATATATATATATCACTGATTAATTGAGTCTGCTACCAACTTACTGTTGGCCAGAATACTATCTACATCTACCTCAAAGGAAGATGTATTCAAGTCAAAGAAACTTCCAAGTAACAGGCTTATCACCATAGCTCAGGATACTACATATGTAGTAAAACATACCTCCTTAACATCTCCTCAGTGTCCTATCATCACCTACAGTGCTTGGACTCAGGAGTTCACAGAGGCCAACACCTGCTGCAACCCGTCCACTGGCTTAAGTTTGCCTGGGTCTTCTCCCTGCCTTCCCTGGGCATGGACATGGTCGCTTTCTGGTTTTTTCCTACTCCTAATATGTTCAACTGACTCAAAGCCTCCCTAAAGCTATAGCCACAGATGTTTCCAGCAAACATAAGATGTCCCTAGCTTCTCCCCCTGAAGGTTTGTGATCATTGACTTTAGAGCTTCCTTGCCACTCTCCAAAGAGAGTCCTTCTCTTCCTATTAGGGGTTTCCTTTTATGACACAGAACTAGAAGACAGACAGAGAATGGGCTTGAGATCCAAGGACGAAGGGAATGGTTTAATGAAAAAAACTTAATTAATGTATATTTAGATAACTGAAAACAAAATACAGGAGGGAAAAGAGAATATCAACAAAATCTGAGAGGTGTTTTGTTGTTGCTTGGTTTTGTTTTGTAATGGGGGGAGGGAGATCTTGAGAAATGAAAAGGAGAAAGGGATATGAGATGTTGGTGGGTGATTTAAATGGGATTCTCTTATAGTTTGAAAGAGAAGTTAAAGTTTAGAATTCTTTTTGCATTATCTTTGGCTGTTTGAACTGGGCTATATTGAATGTGGAACCATATGGAATTAGGATTGCATGGACATACACAGGATGATGTGAACATTATAAGAAGGGATCCTGGAGCCCCTCACTGACAGAGTTAACTACCAGTGTGGTTTTAGCCACACCAACTACACAATATCCATCCTTCTGCTGTCACTAGATAGTGGCTCCATCTTTTTCTTCTGGATCTGTTGATCACATCTAGAGATCACATCTGAATGTTCTGTAATTGGTACCCCATGTCATTATGTAGTAAAACATACCTCCTTTTCATGAGCACCATGTTAAGTCCTGACATCGAGAGAGACCTTCAACACTAACTCATCACTGGGGTCCTGATCATCTTCATTCCTTGCCTCCTCCCCTTAGAACTGTTAAACATCCTCCCCACTCCTCCAAAATCAGCAGTCAAAAGGTTGCATGACCAACTCTATGTTTTCTTAACTTCATACCATGGGGCACTTTGTGCCTTTCATGCAAATTAAGGTGAAAAGATCAAGTCTTATTGCCTTAACCAGCATGTCTCAGTAGTTGAAGGTGTTCATTAGCCACTCACATACAAGAAGGTCTACAATTCAATGTTTGTTTGTGGAGCATGAAATTGTATGTATGCGCACATAAGTTTCATATAGTTCAGTTTTATCCCTTGGGACACACTTCCTGGAGTCTGAACATGGTCCCTTAGAGCTTAAAGCATGGCCATGCGCTTATGCATAGGGAAACAACAAAGCCAAGTTATGCAGGACTTTTCACAAGATCTGCACCCCTGGACTTGTCTGGATCCTACACTAACCTGTCCATCACATTTTAATTTTCAAATAAGAACTAGGAAATTTTAGGGAGGTGTATTCAAAGTTGGTACCATCCATGGTTCTAGCCAGACCCTATCTTCTCCCCTGCTCCCCTGCCCAGCTCTTCCTAGTGCAGCCTGAACTCTCTGCCAAACTTTCCTTGCCTGTCCAAATGGAAAATTTTGTTCCAAGAGTGTGTTTGGAGTGTCTTGAGTATAAATATGAATGTCTATTCTGAGATTTTATATGCATCTCTGGTTATACATCAATTTTCTGTGACTTGTACCTGCCCTCCAGTAGCTCCCAGTCTAATGGATGCACACCTTGTAGCTGTGGACAGAGCATCAGAAAAACTGGCCCCAAATTTTTAGTCCTGTTTATTTGCTGTTAACCTTGGAGAAGCAACTTAACAAATCTCAGCCTTTGCTTTCCCTTCTATGAAAGGTAGCCAGTTTTATGGGGCTATTCTAAAGATCAAATGAGCTAATTATTGAAATAGGCTTTGTTCCCTGAACCTGCCTAAGGAATTGCAATGCGCACTATCTATAGAAACATTCATCTCCACATGACCATCAACTGTACCAAGCCAGCTCCAAACCCATTACTAATATGCTAATGGCAGGGTTGCAATCAATGCTCACACACTGACATAATTTGCATCATTTTTCATTTAAACTGCAGCCGTATTCTGATTTTAATCTTCCTAATAATCATAGTAGGGTAGGTCTGTTGTTTGTTTGAAAAGAAGAAACTGAAGTTCAAAAAGATCATGTGAGTTGGTGAAGGTTTTGGGCAGAGTTGATGTGGAAACCCAGTCTCTGTGTCTCTAGAGCTCATGCTGCTAACTTCTACTCTGTCAGTCCATGGAGACTGACAGGAAGTAAGCA